CAATCCCAGAATGCATAATTCGTAATAGAAATTGTAATGAACTGTACGTTCGTATACGTGCGCAAACACGCGAATAAGTGCGCAAAATACGCTGCCCGGAGGCATCTAGCTTCCATTGTGTTTTTGCGCATTTTTACACTACGCAAATATACGGCTTCATACGCAGCTATGTGTACGGAGCCATTTATTTGCATATGCTGCATATGGTCCAATACGCACGTACGTGCGGCAGTGTGAATGAGGCCTTAAAGTTGAATTTCAGGGGAAAAAATCTCCCCTTGGAGTGGGGCTGCCAGCATCAGTGTCACTAAGATTATTATTGGCTCTTCACAAATTTGGAGCAGCCTAATAATAACCATAAATTTATTAAATTATCAAGCAGTCAGTGAGATTTTGTTCACAATGACTGCGTGATATAATTCAATATAAATTTAAAAAAATTTTTTTTAAAAAGAAGTGTTAAAAACAATTGTGTAAAAAAAAAAACAAAAAAAAAAACACACATATATTTATTACACACAATTATTTTTATAAAAATTAACCCCTTACAATGAAAATCTGAAGCTAAGCTGCAGATTTGTTTTTCATTCTAAGGGGTTATTTTATTTAACCCACTCAGGGTGGCAATGTTCAAAGTATGTCACTGTCACTAACTGTGACACTTAATGACAGTGACATTGTATGCCAGGTGACCACTATTAGCTTTGAGAGAGAAATAAATAAATTGTTGGCTTTTAGTTTTAGGCTCAGAAGTACAGAAACTTTTCCGAATTTTTTCTAAAAAATAATAATCAAAACTGGGGAAAGTGTTTGGGTTTTTTTCCCCCTCTTTTTTTTTACATTTGTATTCTTTATATAAATATGTAGCCCTATCTGTCCTCTCAAAAAAAATATATATTATGTGTGGGTGCACACATATGCTGTGGAAGAATCACACAGCAAAAATGTAAAAAGTGTGTCATTCATTAACGTACAGAAACTAAAAAAAACCTCAGTCATGAAGGGAATAATGTGTGCCATTGCACAACATAGCTAGCGTGAAGCAGGTGCGTTGCTATTCATTTTAATGGCACCCCAACACACCTCCTGGCTGTAATGTGCTCAACACGTGGTACCACAATACCATACGTTGCGGTGCAAATAAGAAGTCCATGCACTACTTCACGGTATTGTGGTACTGAACGCTGCGGCCGAGAGGTGCGTTGGGGTGCCATTCAAATGAATGGCAACGCAACACACCTGATGCACCGTAAGTGCATTGAGCAACAGCATGCATTAATCACATGGAACCATGCAATGAACGCACTGCATCGGTGTGAACAGGCACTAAAGTATAAAAGGGCATAAGAGGTTGTGAGCCATTTCAGATAGAATCCAGCAATGGCAGACTCCTCAAATGCAACTTATACTTGTCAGCCTGGTGACTGCACAAACAACTTAGGACTGAGTATGTACAACATAAATCCCAGTCCTCCCCCCCC